GGTATATGTTGTCCCCGTTTTTGCTGCCGGTGACGGCACGTATGTATGCAACCATTGACGGTGCACCATATAAGTAAATGCAAATTGCGAATTATCAACTGCAAATGCGCCAACCATGCTTCGGTGTGATATCTTGTTTGTAATACTGGAGTCAGCTGTGAGTAACAGATTCTTTTACAAGATTCGTCGCCCAAAACGGATGCATTGCATGCTATGCATCAGGATGTAGGCGGTGAGCGATTCTTTCAGAGATTCCCAAATTTGAAGAACAAACTCCTGTGCAATATTCTAAATAGGTACCGGGAGTGCAAACTGAGCAGTACTTTACTCGGGGCGGCAGACGAACGGGGGAAGCGTGTCAGCAACGGCGAGTGGGCGAGCTTGATACAGCTATGCGGGTAGAAAGCAGGTGTGGACGTGCACGTTGAAGCTACAGATATTTGCACACGGAAAGCACGGATGAGGGGGTGCAGAGCTTCCGGTTTTCCATTTCGGTTATCCTCTCATCACGACGTCGTGCAGATGAGCTGATGCGCAGCTTATAGACATAGTTACCAAGTCAGGCGCGAACGCCATGTCGGGATTTCCGACTCGCCGGTGTCAGGGTTCTGCTTTGCGCTGTGCCGGTAGCTGACAGTAGAACGCGGCGCATTAGTCGAACCTCTCTACCCTCACAAGACCGGATGGCGCCTGTCGTGAGCTGTGGAGGACAGGCTGACCGTCAGCTGGCCGCTGTCGGGCTGAGGGGCGCCGCCCGGGTCCTGATCCCGGTGGACCGATGAGTGCCTCTTCGCGCCGCTGTCACGGGTCGGAGACAACTCTTCATTCAGATGGTATCAGCACCAGGCGACAATTGGACCCGGCTTATCGATAATTGGTGGATCAGCGTTACGTATGGCCCAGGATCGGTTCGTCGGCCCCGCGAATCCTGACGCTAATGGTCAGGCTGCGTACAAAGCAGCCAAATTTCGTTGTTTGGTTTGGGTGGGGCGAAACATTCCACTGGCGGAAAGGTCAGGGTTGCATGCTCCAAGTGGGGTGCGTGACTTATTTTCAGGGTGAAAGCGTGGCAGAAAGAATTGGATAAAAGGGCTATCGTTTTCCTGCCATAACGACTATGTAATTCGACAGGGCCATATGCAGGATTTCGCAACGGCTGTGGGGACACAGCTCAAAGTCTTCACTAAAAGCCCAATTTAGCACCCGCATGCATGCAAGCTTTCTTGCATGACGTCAGCCAGCATGGTTTGTTCTTTATCTACTTGTTTTCGCGTGTTTACACCGATTTTGTGGTGTGAAAATTCACTTCGCACATATAAATGCGCGGAAATCATTTAAAAGGGAGGATCACGTGACCTGGAGGTCACTATATGAGCTCGCCGCTGCCATACGGACATTTAAGCGTGTCAGTGAACATGAGCCGTCCGCCTGTTGCTGGCTGGTTACGCTCTTCCCTCAGCTGTAAACGTGTAGGATATGCGATGTGCTTTTCCGTGAACCCATGCAAACTTTTAAACACGGATGGAAGCCGTGAAGCAGTTGCCATGCAGCAGAGCGCCGCCGGTCACCGCCCCACGGCAACCCTCCGACTCAGGCTTCCCCAGAGGTTCGGCGAGGCCCACCGCGCTCCTCTCTGGATGAAGTCAGCGGCAAATCCTGGCGCTTACGCCGAAGCCCCGAATCGGTTGCACGATGGGGCCGTAAGTAGTGGAAAATGTGTGTAAAAGGTGAAATCTCTCGTATTTTCATGCAAGCACAGCCAGGTAACTAATCAGACGCCATGCTGCCCGTTTTTAACATGCAACCAACAAGTCAAGCATCTCAGCCTTCTTACATTTTCTGGAGCTTTAACCTTTATGTGACAATCTTGATCGGACGGTGTGAGGCTGTCCACATGCGTCTACATATATATATATATATATATATATATATATATATATATATATATAAGTTTTACTTTATTCGGTTTATGATTCTAAAGCCGTGGTCCAACCAACACCGTTATCTGTTGAAGGTTCGTGGTATAGGTGACGCCAGCTGTTATACTATCATAGTTTGCCATGACATGTTGGCTGTTCCCTTCACCTGTGCATGCAGTACGTCCGTTAAATTGAGCATTGGGCACTGCCGTTTCCTCAAAAGATGGACACAGGCTGATCGTTTATGGTAGTTTACGGCTTTGTCGCCGGCTGGCTAGCTGTTCGCGAACACGCTCCGTTCGTAGACAGTCCGCAAACTGTTCGCGACCGTTAAGACATCTTCCTCGATCCAAGACGCTGTTCGCGAACACGCTCCGTTCGTAGACAGTCTGCAAACTGTTCGCGACCGTTCAGACATCTTCCTCGATCCAAGACGCTGTTCGCGAACGCGCTCCGTTCGTAGACAGTCCGCAAACTGTTCGCGACCGTTAAGACATCTTCCTCGATCCAAGACGCTGTTCGCGAACACGCTCCGTTCGTAGACAGTCTGCAAACTGTTCGCGACCGTTCAGACATCTTCCTCGATCCAAGACGCTGTTCGCGAACGCGCTCCGTTCGTAGACAGTCCGCAAACTGTTCGCGACCGTTAAGACATCTTCCTCGATCCAAGACGCTGTTCGCGAACGCGCTCCGTTCGTAGACAGCCCGCGAACCGTTCGCGACCGTTAAGACATCGTCCTCGATCCAAGAGGAGGAAGTGACATAATTTTAGACCTACTCTTTCTTTCTTAACCTGAAGCTTCCACTTTTCGACTATTGGCACGACATCTTATATTCTGGCTAATACCTACACCATTCTTTGATCGGTATAGCAGAAGGTTACCCAATGCCATTTTAACCATTGTTTGAATCATTTCCTGATCCAAGAGGAAGAGGGGACTCAATATTATATCAATATTTTGTTTGATTTCTTTGATTTCCAGAAGCTAGCTTTTCGATCTTACCATTTTTCGGTATTATTTCCAGCATTGTAAGTAGGGAAAGAGATGAGAAAGAAGTACTTAAAGTTCAGGGACTCGGAAACTTTGGAACAGCATGAAATGAAACTATGAATCATGAAAGCGAGTGGATTCACTCCCCAGCCAGCGCCTTGGCTGAATAGTGAACAGTGGTCGATCCATTGGCGTCAGAAAAGGGGAAACGTCAGCACCCAGTCAGCTGCCGTTGCTGAGACGTAGTGAAACTGGGCTCGTGTTTGTTTGCTTTCGTTCGTGAGGATCGGCGCTGTACAAAGGCGTAGGCTTTGCTTTTCATAGTCATGTAATTTTCAATTTTTCTGTGCATCGCATCGATGCCTCGCTTAGTAGCTTGGTTAACCGCTTGCATGCTCGGATACTAGGAAATAACACACGATGCACGCAGCGATATGACTTCACATTATGCTATATATATATATATATATATATATATATATATATATATATATATATATAATGCCTTGATATTGGTCGGGACAAGTGAAGTGGTAGGTTCAGATAACACGAACGTGACGGCGATCACGGAACACCGAGACAGTTCCGGATGCCGGAAAGAATGTTTATGGTCAATGTACTGCTAGGTTTCCTGTTCGCAAACTGTGAGCAGGTGCTCTTTTCTGTTCGCTCGCGCTTTCAACCGTCAGGCGGCCAGCTGTTCGCGAACAGTTTACTTATATTTATCCATAAAATGAAATTGATGAACTCCTCATCTCAAAAAACCGGTTTTTGAACAACAAACTCGAGTTCCCAATCTATCTCTTGGACAAAATATGTATACGCTTTTTCGCTTGTGATAGGCTTTTTAGGTCAGTTTCCTATCATGGATATAATGACGATAATCGAACAATCTCATCAGTGCATATTTCAAGTTTCTATATTACTAAGAGCTTTATAACATCTTGGTTTCATAGATATCAAAAGAGGGGGTCGATGCGACCCCCCTTATATTTTCTTCGGATGTCTCTCCGGCATATTATGCAACCATGAAAATTGGCTAGTAATCTATGGAGTAACCATTGGGCGTGTTGGTACACTAAAAACGTGCCCTAGCCTCTCTGTTGTCACGGCAACCGCGTTTTTTTAAGGAACACTGCATGACGATCCTCGGCGAGCCCTGGCGGCGACCAACAAATCTGCCGATGGCTTGCAGCAGGCCGGTGCTGTAACATTAACGGAGATTCGCATTATGAATGCAAACTCAGAACACACAAAAATGCATGTCGACCCCACGAAGTTATGTCAGGAACATGCTTGTGTAAATTTCATGTCGCTAAATGACATGAATTCGTGAATATGGGGATGCAAAGCCAACAATCTGCGATTTTCGGGAAAACTGATCTTGGACCTGGCGTAATGGAGTCAGCAAGCTCTCACTGGAGCCAAGTCTTTTTCCGCGAGGCTCTATCGCTCTTAGTTTGGAAACGGCAGGGAGCGATCGACCCCCTCCGCCTACCAGTCCACGTTATGAGAAGAGACCGATCAGGGCGAGTTAAGCCGTGACAAGACCATTCTGTCTGACTCATGACTCATTAAGTCATTGAACTCAGAGCATAAGGTGTCCGAGCCAAAATGCACTGAAGTTGGTCAGCCAGGAAACAAGATTGGTCCCGCAGTGTTAATCAGCCTGCCCTGATACAGGCAAGCCTATTGGTGTTATGTATTTTGGTGAGGTGGTGGCATGATTAAAGCAACTAATGATCAGAAATTATGAAGATCAGGCATCAGAAATTAAAGAAATGATCACGATCAGTTCCAGCCCCGGGCACGGTTGGTACTTCCGCACCGGCAAGACGCTGTTTAAAAAGCAAAGTTTGGGAGCAAACTTTGAAACGCAGTGTGCAAACGCAGTTTGGGAGCAAACTTTGAAACGCAGTGTGCAAACGCAGTTTGGGAGCAAACTTTGAAACGCAGTTTCAGTGCGTGTTTTTTCCTTCTCTCGCCTTGGAGGAATTTGAAAAGATAAGGTGCACGAGAAAATGATACACTTGTTTCAAAAGCGAGGAAATAACTTGAGTAGCGGAAAATGATACCCAACCATTTGTCACAAAATAACACCTGACCTTGACGTGCCCGTACGCAGCCTCACACAAGACAACTAAATTACTTGTATTGAGTTTGACGATAGTTTGTCGAAGTGCTCATCGATTTCGAGATGTCATTCACAACTCGACTTGATGCATTTCTTGAAGCTTTCTGCAGTTACTGAGTTTGTTTTGACCGAAAACCATAACCTGAATGTACTGTTTCTTTCAGGACCTTCACAAGACATATCTAGATGCATATGTACCCGAGGGAAAGCAAACTAGCGCCATAAGCTACATATTTTGGATCATCAGCGCAGTGCCGGACCGTGATGGAAGTGACGTCGGAATTGTTAAAGTCGTTTCATTTAGATCCTAGCTTCTCGCTATTGACGGTGCGATCGTCTGTGCTTTGCATGGAGCTGTTCAATTTGCTTGACATACATGAAGCATCGGCAATTAATGGTGAGCCTTTTCATATATCGCAGGCAAGCTTCTTTCATCAGTGAATGAACCTCTGGGCGGTGCTCTTCTTTTCGGTGCAGCGTTGCCTTTACGTGTGATCGCTTCACAATCTACCATGCACGTATGCCAGTATATGTGTATGATGTACCAGTATACCGGTGTACCAATACCGGTACACGTGTAAGATGTTTGACTCATTTGTTTTCCTGCAGCGAAGCGCAGAAGCGCAGTTTAAGAAGACTTCTTGGGATCTCTTGGTCGATGAGGATTAAATCCCAAATGCTGCTTTCTCCTTGCGTTTGGGACACTTAATTCTGACATATGAAGAAACAAAAGAAAAATAATTTGTTAAAATCTTCGTTATGTCTGTGTTCTTTGAGTTTTTCGTGAGCATGGTGCCCAACGTTCGAAGCACTTTCGGTCAAATTGGGGGAACTGAGCTCCACGTTGAGTGTTAAAGCGCTCCAGGTGAATATGGCCGCACACCTTTGGCCTGGAATCAGAACTACACCATCTTTATCCGTTGAAAAAAATCCAGCCTAACAAGCGGAAAAATGCCGCACTTAAAAATCCATAAAAATTACTTTCGTAACAACTGTTAACAAGTACTTCGTCACGCAGGCAGACTCGTGCTTGGTGAAACATTGATTCCCTATTACGCTCATTTTTACCATGCATTTTGTATATCCGCGTGTAAGGAGAGCAGGGGAGAGGGAGCTCTTAAGCTCTTAAAAATACTTCAGGTGAACATTATACTATACCTTGGTAGGCTACTTGCACTTCTGCTGACTGGCACGGGCCTTCGAATTCTTCACTTGTCGCTGGTGCCGTTGGTTATTACGGCGCACTCACCTGCTGAGGTTTTACGGAGTCGCCTGCCTCTCGCCCTGGCAGACAGGGCGGGTACCACGGAGAATCGAACACCGCATCTCTGGTTTTCCAGATGCGCAGCTTAGCCACACTTAAGGTGCCCCTTTTCATTTATCGATTCGGAAAGAGTTCACTGCCAAGGGGGTGGGGACAATGCGTAATCAACCTCTTAGTGCGCGCAAGTGTGCGCATACGTGTCTGTGTACACCAATACACAGATAACGAAATTTATATGTAACTCCTGCGCGAAACCCATTTTGCTAGCTAGTTTTATCGCTGTTAGTACTAATGACTGGGACTTTACGTCTAACCCACTGTCAGGATCATTGCAAGCCGGATGCCTACGGATCAAGTATCATGTGGTATGCGATGGTGGCGCGGCAGGGACTCAAACCCAAGGTCGACAGGTCCGGAGCAAAGCAATCTAACTACTATACCACCGCCGCCCAAGCCATTTTCATTAGATCCACCAAGGACCAAGGGTATTATATATTCAAAGAGGTGAATTATGTAACTGTGAGTAACAACGTGTTGTTAGACATAATCTTTTGGCGGCGCTAACCACATTCCTTTGATCCGAAGCTGAGATCAGTTGGGTTGGGTAACCCATGCACAAGCTCAACCGTTGTCTCTACGACGTGCATGCGACCCGCCAAATCTACGCCAAGGTTTTGCCTACAGATGTGATTTTCTGTTCGTGGCTGCGCAGTTGCACAGACCTGAGCCACGGCCAGCTGTACGACCTGTTTGAGCTCTTCGACGTCGATCGCTCCGGCGAGATCGACTTCGACGAGTTCTACCTCGTGATCGCCATCCTCGTGGCTGTTAAGGCAAGCACGTGACCGTCGTGATCGTGAAACATTGCAATGAAGTGTCTCTGCAGCATCGCCAGCGCTAGGAGCAGATCACTTCCACGCAGCAATAGTGTCCAGGGCCGCGCCAGCCGAGACGCTGCGCACGTCATCCAAATATGGGATGGAAATCATGAGTTTAAATAATGCTCTTCCGGGTTTTAATGACTGAGATTGATATTGTGACTACATTAGGCGGTCATCTTTGGTGTCAAGTTTTATCGCCCCAATTTTTCATTTATAGCGAGCTGCCTTAGCAAACAGTCTGTCAGTAATTTGCGACATGCAGCGTGACAGACAAACGTTTATGCACTTTATCACCCGAGAATGAAACAATGTAATCACTTAGACATAAACTTCAACAGATCATACCTCGTTCTAGCTGCATTCTCTCAACCGTACCATCGCGTAGCAACAAACGGGAACAACGGCAGAAAACGGCAACATGACCATTACAACAGCAAATACAAAAATGATGCCAACGGGGCAAAAACGCATTTGGCTAAATGCGCTGTATTGTCTATAACATGGCTCTTGATATGCTCTTAATCCTCGCCCTCCGGGCGTTTTCACCTCTTTTTCTACCAGGGGGCGCTCAGAGCCCCTCCCTTTGATCTCAAAACCATGCAGGCCCCTTGGAAAACGTCATTGGAAAGCTGTTGTAAAATTCCATTAGGCAGGTGTACGCAAAAAGATGAATGTGCACTAATAGACTAAACCAGGTCAAAAGGGTTAAATTAGCCCTTTATGGGCCGTTGATTTAATCTCAAGGATTAGTAAGCTTAACGAGGTAGCAGCGTCACGCATGCACTCGCCTTATCCCTTATGTAGAGTCCGTCTGTAATAAGTAACTTACCCCGACAGGACAACGTGGAGAAGGAATTCATCTACCGGCATTCACGCGCCGTCTTCAACATCATGGACTTCGACCAGTCGGGCACGGTGTCAGCTGAGGAATTCGAGAGAATAGGCTTCCTCTTCAACTTCTACAGTACCGCCATCCGGTCAATCTTCAAGGAGTTCGACGTGTCGGGAGATTCGGAGCTGGATTTCAAGGAGTTTAAGGTGGGGATGTCAGCAAGAGACCAGTGCTTGCCGTTCCGAGATCAATGACAGCTCCGTGGTAAGCTGACGCTATACCCAGCTGTGTGCTTCACACGCAGGGCGGAGGACGGTCCGTCGCACGACAGCCGGGCCTTTTCCTGCCTGCTGTCTCCGTTGGCTGCCAGCCATACTGAGAGGCACCCGATGAGAGGCAAGTCACAAGTACTTGACACTGTCCTGATTCGAGGCTAGAGGATGCAGGGTTGAGGGGACCGATGAGCTGGTATGATCCGTGATGTTATTTTGGGGTTCAAACCGTGAAAGCAAGAGCATCGGAGCCGTCACCGGGTTTAGTGCGTTGGCCCATCCCCCCCCCGCACTGCCGATATCCCACTGGACACACAACTGTTATCGTGCTGGAAAAACGCAGGTCAGTAATGATATTGAAAAATATTCTTCCTTGCGATGGACAGCACGATAGTCCTAGTGGCTTCTACTGATGTCAGATTCTTGCCGTTGAGACTTCCAATGTATTTGATTCAAAAAAGGTTTATGGCTGGAAGATCGGCGAGCCATGGTAATCAAGGACCTCGCATAACGTGAAAGGTAGGCAGCATTTCAAATGGTGTCGCAAAACGATCCAGATGATTGCTACATGAAACAGCTGAGCTGAAATAGGTTCTCCACACTTTTAGAGGACCCAAGTCCCAAAAGCTTTCAACAGTCCACAAAATGGCAATGGTTTTTCACGCACCATGCTGTCCCGAGAGTTAACGATTTCCAAAACATCCACATCACTCAAGCTAACCTAACCTAAACTAACCTAACCTAGCCTGACTTAACCTACCTTAACCTGCAATCAGCTATCAGCTATCACTATCAGCGAGTTGAGATACCGCGGAAGAGCCGTTGTGATGTTCGGATGGTTCCAGTCGTTATGGTTCCGTCGTTATTCTCGCAGTGTGTTCTGAAAGTAATGGCCCCTGGGACGGGCAAAGGGAACCGGGAGACAGCGAATAACAGGGTCACTTAACGGCCAAGGGCGGCCAAAACAGGCAGTTTGGGCGAAATCACGAGATTTTGTGCTCATTTGAAGGTGCATGACATATTTTTTGTAAACTTTTTACGGAACTCAGAACATATTCCCGTTTTTTTCACACGCGCGCCGATGGCCATTTAGGTCAGATGGAAAGACGTCATGTAAACAGACAACTGTGGCCCAGTCGGGCAAATCTACCTGCGAATAAGTATGCTTCATGCAAATCTTTTCACGTTTGTAATACCTGCCAGGGAAATCACCTGACATTTGAGCCGTACAGGTCAAATAAAAAAGCATGCGTGGTATGACATCGTGACGAGAATGTTTGGGTAGGTACACGGTGATAATATCAACCTCTGAGCACCCAAGTACAAAACACGGACTTCATTATGTGGGGCCCATCTAGGCTGCCCACTAACACATCCCAGTGTGCTGCGGCGTTGGATGCAGGAGTTCTTGTATACTGCTGCTAGATGCATTTCCAGCGCCCACAATGATGGTGGGAAAAGTATGAACCTGCATGTCCATAGGTATCACTTGTAAAGAAGGAGCTCACCAGAGGTCAAGGACGACCACCATACATTAATGGCTGCCTGCGCCAACGCATGTAGACAAGTGAAGGCACACATAAAAAGGCAAGCATGCACGGATCTGTCACCATCGCTTCTGATATTTGTGCAACATTTGTCAGCCACACACGCCTTTGTGCATCCTGTGTTGTCACCTCTACCGTCCAGAGACTGTTTCCCGTTGTCCCATGTTTGGGCCGAATGTAAGCACTGACGAGATAAACAGCGTTAGGTGCAACGCTGGCTCGCAAGCGGCTAGCAACCTGCGCACGTGTCCACAGGTTCTGGTCCCGTCAATATGTTTTTTGTTTTTGCTATCACAAGTCCACCACTGTATGCCGACAGCTATTCGCAATGGCGTGCATCGACCAGCAGCGTGCCATCTGGCTGAGTGAGCAGCGCAAACAGCTCCACAGGAAGCAGCTCAAGTTCTTAAGCGACAACAGAGAGATGCTGCTGTTCCACCTGAGCAACAGACCGAGTCAGGCGGCCCTTCTGGCCTCCCCCCACGGTGTGGAAACGGAGGCGCCCACAGGACGTTAGGTCCAGTGGGCTGCTACAGTGAGTGAAGCAGGATTGCTACTATTTAAAGTCGGGTGGAGGCTGAGCCGAAAGGGTTGACCTGGTAGGGGGGGAGGGGGGGGGAGGACCACTCCAAAACCATGTTCAGTGACTCCCGTGGAGTGAGGCCGCTTTTGGGCCTCAGCGCGGTGCACGCCTGGCAAACACGTCGTAATTATTTGTTTGATTCAGCTTCAGCGGCATTCCTTCCGCTCCACATCCACCGCACATTCTGTTGATTTCAAGCCTGGTCCGACCGAGATGTGGCGTCGATTGCACGGCCGTTATAGTCAATACCGACGATCCTTTTTAGCACGCACCAATTCGCTCACACTCCACCCAGCACAATTTTTCGTACACATCGGGCCTGTGTTAACGCACAACGATCTGATCCATCCCAGAACCAGTTCCAGCTTCACCCAGGACCGAGCACTAGACTAATGTTCTGAGGCCGGCGGTGATGTCCAGCTGTAGCCTATGGCTGACCTGCACCGCGTGCGTTGAACACCGCTGGCTGAGCAAAGCTGGCGGTATGCTGTTCGCTGTTCCAGCTGGAGAACGATAAAAACACAGTTGTGGCAAGGCGACAGCCGCGGCCGCAGAGCTGAAGAAGTACGATGAAGGGAGCACCAGGCGCAGGCGCAGCACGGAGACCAATCAGACTGGTGCCGGACTCTGCCTCCGACAATCCCTCCAAAAGCCGCTGGCAAGATATTCACGTACTCTCCATTCGCGCGTCAGTGCTGTTGTGATGGATGAAGCAGACGGTGTTCGAGAAATAAATGACATGGGTGCGAGTCAAATACCCTGTAGGACGTACGTTATGCTGTGCCGGGCACAAACCCGAATTGCGATGATCTGACTTGTGCCGGACGACCAACCGAAGGTGTCACCAAACTATTCTAGTAACCTGCCATCCATCCGGGGCATTTAGTGTAGTAATATATATATATATATATATATATATATATATATATATATATATATATATATATTACTGTGTATGAATGTATTATGTACTGTGTATGAATGTATTATGTATGAATCATACATATTGACATTACACATTGCAGGAACGTCTGTTCCGCTGCCCATTACATACCGTCATCACTGTACTCAGTATGGGCACCGAAAATAAAAACGAGCCGTGGTAAGCCATGGGCAACCCGCACTTTGTGTCTGTCTGGTCCCGGTAGCCGTCTAGTATGGCCTGTGCTTCCGCTATCCCAAGTCGTCAGCAGTAGCATGCCAGTCTCAGGCGTTTGCGAGCAAATGGATGCGTCATTTTCTTCGTCCATTTCCCGACTAACCACATCATGCAACAGTCTGAATCAGCCACATACAATCCATTCTATTCCTCAAATAATACAAGTATTACATCACACATCCCATTAAACAATCTATCGTCTGTTGGAATCACGCACCGATCAATCTAAAATAAAATACACCAGGAATGATTCGTTGACACATCGGTCGCCACGGCGTCATTGCGCTATGCATTATAATGCACGCACACACAGAGTAGGTACAGCAAACATATAAACATATTTACTCCTTGCTGGCTTGCAGCTTGTCAGCATAGTGACATTTCGAACGCTATTACCATTGCCGCCTACGAAATCCGTTTCGAACTTCACCTTCATTAGCCTGAAGACGCTGAGAGCAAGCCTTTTCCAAACAGATATCTCACACATGATCTACCATGGCACCAGCCGGGCCGAACCACCCTGAGACGCTCGCATCACGCGCCTAGTGGCGGCTGGCAGAGGCTGCGGTTCTACCGCCAGCCACGGGGCGGCACCACCGCCTCAGTTGTTGTCGGCCGTGCTCTTGTTCTCGCGCGGGTAGAATTCGGCGATGGTACTGGCCGGGATCCGCTTGAGCATCTCCTTGGGGAAGATGCGCAGCAGCTGCCAGCCGATGTCCAGCGACTCGAACACCGAGCGGTTCTCGTAGTTACCTTGAGGTGGAGGACGCCATGAGATCAATTATTCACGAACGGGCGACTTCCGTGTCGGGATTACGCCCTTCTCACTACGAGTCGATGGCACTCTTTCAACGAAACGCCCAGATCATATTATAGTTGCGATGATGGCTACAACCAATTCGCCGACAGAAATATTTCTGCATCAACAACAGATGCCCTCCACTGGACTAAGCTGGCATGTTCAAATCGCCATCAAATGGGAAAAGCGCCAGTAATATAGATCTAGTTTGATCCTCCCTTATTCAAACATTCCAGCGCACACTGATCGGACGCGGCTCTCTTCATCCCACCGCCGGCGCTCGGCAGGCTCATGGTCAGCTCACCCTGGGTGATGAAGTGCTTCTCGAACTTGGTGAGGAACTCGAGGTAGAGCAGATCGTCAGGCGTCAGCGCCTCCTCACCCACCACCGCCTTCATCGCCTGCACATCCTTGCCGATGGCGTAGCACGCGTACTACAACACGCCACAGCCGCATCAGTAGGCACACCCCACACGACGCACCGGTGAGACGCATGAGCACGCTCCGCCGCGGGCATGTAGCGGGGAGCTCACACACAGTCCAGGGGACCTGCGAAGTCGCAGACGTCCTGACGAACGCCGCGACGGTATGACTCATGACAAACACACCGTCAGCCACCCCTAGATGTGCCAGGGCACTCGAAACTATCAAAATACAGAAACTCCCCGGCCGTCCACAGACATATCCCGGGGCCGACCCGTGACGGGCGCCCCACTGGCCAGCGGTGGCAATGTGTCCGCCGCGGAGGGGCGCGGCGGCTGGGCCGCGTGCTGTCAGAGGGATGCGGGCCCTGGTGCGGACCGGGTTGGAGACACCCACCAGCTGGTTGGAGACGTCGGCGTGGTCCTTGCGCGTCATGCCCTCGCCGATGGCCGACTTCATGAGACGGCTGAGCGACGGCAGCACGTTGATGGGCGGGTAGATCTGCCGGTTGTGCAGCTGCCTGTCCACGTAGATCTGGCCCTCAGTGATGTAGCCCGTCAGATCGGGGATCGGGTGAGTGATGTCTGCAACGGCGCCACGCACCGTCAGCGCACCGACCGCGCCGGACACGGCACAGCAGCAGCTACCGCACAGCGCCGACCACGGGTACACCGCCCAACTTCCAACGGAGACTGCGCGCGCTGATGACGGTGGCTAACATATTGCCAGCTTTCAGCGGGTCTAAAAACGCATGCTTGGCCGTCCGCCCGGGATACTGATCCACGTCAAGACAACAGCTGACATCGACGTGCCATTGACAACAGATGGCATCTCACACGCACCGCGTCCGAGTTCCCTCCTTTAACTGGCCCACCAGCGGGCGTGGCGCGAGCGACGGGCCGGCCGCCACTCACCGTCGTTGGGCATGGTGAGGATGGGGATCTGCGTGATGGAGCCGTTGCGGCCCTCCACGCGGCCGGCGCGCTCGTAGATGGTGGCCAGATCGGTGTACATGTAGCCGGGGAAGCCGCGCCGGCCGGGCACCTCCTCGCGGGCGGCCGACACCTCGCGCAGCGCCTCGGCATACGACGTCATGTCCGTCAGGATGACCAGCACGTGCTTCTCGCACTGGTAGGCGAGGAACTCGGCCGTGGTGAGCGCCAGCCGCGGCGTGATGATGCGCTCGATGGTCGGATCGTTGGCCAGGTTGAGGAACAGGCACACGTTCTCCATGCTGCCGTTCTCCTGCGGGAGCCGATGGAACGGTACAGGCCGGCCGCAGAGAGCGCACACCAAATTCATCCTCTTCTTGCGTGGGCCTACAGGGCTTCCGAGTCCACATATAAAGCAGCCAAGCGATGTAAAACGAACCGTAGACATACGTCAAAAAGTAAGAAGCGGGGTAAGCTTCATTTTTATTCACTCCTCCACAAAAATAGCAATAGCTCATTGGCAGGGCATTGATCAATCCCGTGCCCTCGTGTGGCCGAGCTCTGAACCCGAAGAGACCCGACCGCCGCAATCAGCGCGCGGCTTACCTCGAAGTCCTGCTTGAAGAAGCGAGCCGCCTCCATGTTCACACCCATGGCGGCGAACACGATGGCGAAGTTGTCGCTGTGGTCGTCCATCACCGACTTGTTGGGCAGCTTCACCAGGCCGCCCTGTCTGCAGATCTGGGCGGCGATCTGTGGGGCCGACCGGGCCGAGTTAGGGCGTGCGCGGCCGGCGGCGTCACGACAGACCGCCCGCGGTCTGCAGCGGTGGGGGCCGCTCTGGAGCATGCCTCTCGTCTGTGCTACAGTCTGCGCCGACAAGGCACGCCCAATTCAACCATGCGCCAATACGGTGCTGAGAGACTGGAAGTTGGCACGATGCCAGGAACGGCTGGGGCTTTTTGTAGTGTTATGCAGGGCTGGAAATATTCAATGTACCCATTGTGGCACAGACGCTGTGAAATGCGACAGAACGGCAAACATCCATCACATAGGGGAGCATCTTGCATGCCAGCAAAATATGTTCAGTGATAATAGTACTACACGTCATTACATTACAAGATGTAAGTCAGTGAACAAGGCATTATATGTGCATTTACCCATGCACATACTACGCAACATATATATATATATATATATATAATATATATATATATATATATATATATGCACGCTGACTTGACTGCACATTGGCAGCAAGTTGACCATTGTAAAAACGTACAACAGCCAAGACACCAAAAGCACACATGCAACAAGGAACAACAGGTCCAACAACCAGTGTTGCTTTAAAAGTATGAAGACCCTGAGGTTGAACACGTTGCGAAGTGTTGGAAATATCTGGAGCACGCCAAAAGGCGAAGGCCACACAATCCCCCCTGCTCAGGCGTTTCTCAGCGCGGGTTTTCCCTCCAAGTCTAGCTGTTGAGCCCCGCTGGGTGGCGATATCCCGGCACTGCCAGGCGGGCGACTGCGGCTGGCCCGTACGCTGGCACACGCCACTCACCTCGTTATGGGGCAGACCGGCCGCCGAGAAGATGGGGATCTTCTGTCCACGGGCGATCGAGTTCATGACGTCGATGGCCGAGATGCCCGTCTGGATCATCTCCTCCGGGTAGATGCGCGACCACGGGTTGATGGGCTGGCCTGGAGAGCGGCACCGGTCAGCGTTACGTCACTCGGCTGGTCCGCTGAGATAGCGTGAGATCGGGCAGCGACTGTGATGTAAGCTCAGGACCATCAAGTCAAACCGAGGCGAGTGACAGTTCTCTCATCGCAATAGTAGAGGGGAGGAAGTTAGCCTGTGTCGCATCCGCATGGGTCACACCAACGGGACACACGGGTTTCTCCTCTCAGCAGGGTAAACGCAGAAATGTCCTCCCTTTGATCACGCGCTGTCCGTCGCTCATGCCCTGGTGTACTGTTCGCACCTTGTTCCGGACCGCTGTCGTCACTTTGATCGTCACATGCAACGCAGACTATCCTCGTGATCACTCATAGACAGGGACCCTACAATCGACGTGGGAGCAGTCCCTGTATTTCTTAACGACATTGACTGCACGGCCATTCACTCACCTCAAAAGCATCTTCTGACGCTGCACAACCCTGGCTGAAAGAATCCTACAGTACTTACTTTGCACTCCGCGTGATGTGACCGTTCATTTTGCACAGCTTGTTTTTGTTTTAACACGTTTCGGGAATCTTCAACATCGACCTTATTTGAAACAACACGACATAGTTTTGTACAGCCATAGTCAGACAGGAGCGGTCGCCCAGCCATCGATACCAGGGCAGCAGCTGGGGCGGGGCAGCCCTTACCCTGGATGTCGAGGAAGTCCTCAGCCAGCACGGGCGGCCCCTTGTCGATGGGCTTGCCGGAACCGTTGAAGACGCGACCCCAACATGTCCTCGGAGACGGGCCGGTGCGCAGGATATCGCCCGTGAACTCGCAGATGGTGTTCTTGGCGTCGATACCCGACGTACCCTCAAACACCTGTCAGAAGTGCCGCTGGAGGTGAGGCCGGGCAGGCAAGAGAGAGCCCAGAGACGGAGAACGGACGACACCTGGGAGCGAGACCCGATGGGTGGCGTACAATGCCACAGAAAACAAAACCATTAGTGGCGTCCTCTGCCTCCTCTGCCTCCCGCACACCGATCGACTTTAGGGTGCAGAGGACAGATCTAAGAGTTTTGCATGACCAGGGAAATCCAGCATGTTGGTCAAAAAACCCAATAACCACTACTAATGCCATTTAGCCAGGAGGCAGGTTAACACATGAGGCCACAGCATGACCTGCCACCTGTGCAATTTATTTGTGGCAACTGTGTGCCTTAACTGAAACGACCTGCACAACGGCCCTTGGCAGGCCGCTGACTTCCAGCCACGTTACCCTGCACGGTCAGTGCCATCACCCCAGCGTCGAAGTGTTCACGATCTCTGCCGGAACTTGTGGGAACTTGACGCCATCAAGGAGTCACCAGGGGACCGTCACACTCTGACACTGTCTTGTAGGGCTGGAAACAGGACCCATGTCAGCAATATTTCTGTATTTGAAGGTGGTGGCCACATATGAACTGCCCATGAACAGCCTGGAGGAAATCAATGGAGCTGTGATGAGGAGAATGCTGTCTAGTATAGTATCAGAGTGTATGTGCAGAGCAACCCAGAATGTTCAATTGTACATAATATAACATAGAATCTTGGCTAGATTTATTAACTCCAGACTAGCTATCTGCTCACATCTCCCTAACTTTCATCACCATACCTGTGGATGTTAAGACATTAATATCTAAGTTTAAAGGTACTGTGCATGCTCATAACAAAAACTGCAAATTGCTGTTCACCATGTGTACAGCATGACATAAAATGTCAAGAATTACAATAAAAGCATATATTCTTTGCCATCCCAGTTGCTGCAAATCCTCCCTTATTCTTAGCAGGTGGCTGGTCAGCCAATGTCTGTCAGAACTTAAGAAAGATCCTGTTAACAGGTCAGCCAGAGGATGCTGTAAGCAGGCAAGAGGGTGACCAGAAGTGATCCCATGACATCTTTGATGTATGCTATACCTTGTATGACTAATAAAAAGTGATATTCAGTCAGGTTTACAAAACTCAGTGGATATGCCATGTAGTAATATGTACACCTTCACAAGATCTGCCTGCAAGAGGTGCAACATCCCTGTCTTGGTCAAAGACTACCTTAGATACTGCTCATACAAGACAGCAGCTGATAGAAAAAGCTTCTACCAGTTGGTTTGCGGTACCATTAAAACTGGCTGTGGAAAACAGCTGCTGAAAATAGCAATTGCACAAACCCGCATAAAATTGTTGTTGGGGCTCCTGTCAAGGTTGCTTCAATCCTTGCAGTTAGCTACTGGCTGGCATGGCCTATAGTTGATGGCAGTGGCCACTCAAGGTCAGATGAGGTCAAATGGCAGGGCAGACCATGCTGATCATTGCAGGATGTTAAAATTATCCACAAAAATATCCAGCTTGACTGGAATTTTAGGATCTGTTGATGGAGCACAGGCTGATGCATCAACTCCTTCTTATTGTGGCCGCTAGTCCCAAAAATCGATCCAATCAAATATTGTACTAATTTTATTTTGAAAAGTTGGGCGCTCGCGATAATTGAAAGGGGCTCGAATCCGTCCGCTGAAAAGGAAACACTTCTAGGAAACTAAAAACCTAAGTCCAAAGTGTAAGCTACCCTTGGTGCTGACGGGGGCACAAAGGTTTTTACCCTCAGCGCTGGGGGGTGCGTCAAA